GCCCCCCTGCCAAAGGGGGCGGGGCGGCGCGGCCCGCTGCTCCCCACGCCGCACCGGCCATAGGCGGCGACAGGGCCTTTCCCCAAGTGGGGACGCACCTGTTGGCAGCCGCCCCCCACGAACCGCCGGCCGCCGTGTCCTTCCCCGCTGGCCCAGGAGGTGCAGGGCGAGCGAGGTGGTAGGGTCGGTCCCTCCCTCTGGGCGCCCAAGTGCGTTACCAAACCCTGGTGACAGGGACGTGCCACAAATAAACCCTTTGCCGCTGTGTTTAGAGCCGCGTTTCCCTCAGGGGGACTGTCTAAGGAAAAAAGTAAAACTCATGAGGCTAAAGCAATGGAGGTTGCCCCATCAAATCGGCCACCGAGCTATCTGCTACAGAAACAGAAGTTTCAACTTCACAAAGCTTCTCACGGAGAAGCGGTTAAAACAGCACGGCCTTTGGGTCGGGAGCTGTTTCATCCCACAGTACATCACTCGGCAGGAAAGAGCTGCCTCTCCTCAAACTGCAGATGCGGTGAAAGGCTGCACGTCGGACGCCGTGAGCTCTGAAGAGGACGTTAGAAACTGTCCTTTTAGTACATTCAGACTGGTTTTGCGCTAGCAATGGATTTTAGCACCTTTTATAGCTGTAGCCACAGCATGAAAGTCTCCTTTCATTTGTAAACACAGGCTCAACAATTTTCATTACATTAACAGAAGCAGAAAACCAACAGAGAAAACATTCCCAGACGATGACTTCAGAGGAGTTTAAAACTCAGATAATGAAAGACTGAGGTCTTCAAAAAGATAATTCTTGCTGCTGTTACTCACAAACGCTTCTTTTACTCCTTCAAGAACAAGTAGGAAACAAATGGATCCAAATTCTTACTGCAGGCCCACCAGTGTAAATTCAGAGGTTAGAATCTAGTTTATCGTTGTTTCTGGCCAGTCATCCACAGGCAGGACGAGGGTAGGAATCTTATAGGCAGTAAAAATCCTCTCCTCTGAGAACTGAGTAACAGATTCAGCCACCCTTGCCTATTCTTTCCCTGATCTTCTTTTCTCGACCATTAATATCTGAAGTGGTTCAGTCACATATCTTTTGCATCCATATCCACAGCTGTAAGTTACATGGTTGCTCATATCACGTCCCAGCTGAGAGATTTTCTGTCTCTATTTTTCCTGGGTGCTGTAAGCAACAAAATTAGATGGTTACAATAGCAGAGTCCAACCGCTTCAATGAATTGAAAAACCTTGTGGCAGCTGCTAATTAGAATTTTAAAAATCTGCATTGCCTAAGACATTTTAGAGCTCATTTTATTTGGAAGAATTGTTAAAGGTATGAAAAGGAAAGAGATGGATTACAGGAAAATTAAATGTAGGGTTTAACTGAGAAATAATCATTTTCTATGAAAGATAATGACTCCTCTTGAGGCTAGTATCAAGATTTATTGACCCAGGAGGTTAATATTGATCAAAACCAAGGCAAACAAAATATTAGACCTTGAAGGAGAGTAATCTTGATATTGAAGTCTTGCCACTGATTGAACAGGTCGATATATCTGGGTGCCAGAATCTAAGGTTTTGAACACAGAATGGTGGGGGATATTAAATATGTCTGACACGTTCTATGTATATGCTTTTTATTCCCATCAGCAGTAGTTACTTTATAGCCATGTCCTTCTGTATATAGCATCTTGCAAGGGTTCAGGCTTCGCTCACAAACCTAATTGCAAATATAATGGTTATCTTCAAGTGCAACATATAGCGTAACGTAAGGCACCAGTCTGAAATAAAACGAGTCCTTCATCTATTCACCCACATACATAAGTGATATTTTAATAGCTTTCATTCCAAACACAACAGGGATCCTGCTGCTGCTCCTGCAAAACCATCGTGACAATAAACTGAAAAACTGTAGTGCTTCAAGATCTGTGCTACAGATTTGTCATTGTATCCAGTAATTTGTCTGTAAGTCCAGGAGAAAAGAAAATTAAGTTAAATTCTACTATAAACTGACAGCAAGAAAACATTAATCTTAAAACAAACAACTTATCTGGATTAATTAATCAATGACGATAAAAGTCAGACTTAAGAAAATGTACCACTAGGGACATGAAAATAGTTTACAGGGTAAGATCAACAGTTAATGCGCTTGGGGCAGAAGTTGCCTTTTTATTTCTGTTCATATGACAACTAGCAGGACAGGGCTTTTTAATGTTCCCAGGAGCTGTCTGCAAAACTACTCCCCATTTGTAGTGTATACAATATAATCTGAAAACAATTAGAATTGAAGTAAAAATAAATAAAAATGAGACACACAGGGTTTGTTTATTCAGAAAACAAACAATTCAGTATGAAAACAGTTAAGCCATCAGTATTTTAAAATAGAAATATAAAATTTATTTCTATTTTTCCCCACCAAAACCAGACTGTAAATATTGCGATTTTAAATATGTTTACATATAGTTTATATTTAACTGTCCTGCTTTTCATTTTATTTGAGACACCCTGAATGAATGGGATTTGAATAAATCAGATCTACTTAGATTCAATCATTCAATAATGAACAGTTTCTGAATTCCAGCAAGAAATATTGGCATAATATTTATTTAAAAAACCCCCACAAATAAAAAATTATCATTGGTCTTCTCTTAATGTAAAATAGGTGGGACGACAGCAGTATACATAGTAAACAATTAACATGCTGAGGGAACGTTTATATTTCCTTGTTAAAATCCTGATTTTTCCAATTTTTCCAATACAAAATAACAGGATTATTGATTTCCTCTGTTTTGCCAATTAAAGTACATCATCAGCACCCTATGTTTAGATGATGTAAGAATTCAAAGGGCTCATGTGAATTGCATGATAATAACCTAATCACATACACATATTTAATTTTCAGAAATTGGAGTCACTGATAGAAAAGTATCCCATTTAAAGTGCATTACATCTCATTTACGTAAAGTTGTAGACATTAAAACTGAATGTCTGGCTCTAGATCCTGCCAGGGCAAGATCATTCCATATGCCACATCTCTGAAGCCATCTCCAGGCTACTTTTAACCTGTTCCACAGTGTATAAAAAAAAATGGTGCACAGTCACCTTTAATGCTGCTGTGCCCATCAGGAAGTGTTCTAGACTTGTTCCAATTAGAGGAGTTTATTCCAGACTACAGAGGTCCCCACAGCAATTTGGTTTATGGGAGATTTAATTCCATCTGCACATTTACATTCTTAAGACAGTCACCTGCGATTTTCCAAATGTTATTTTCAAAATATGATTCACTTATCATTCACGACCTGAACATCATAACAAAGAATAAGATAATTTACACATAAATTAGTTTTGAACCCTGTTTGTATATAATTTTAAAATATGTTGTTCTCTTAAAACGCATAAGCAAATAAAGTGCTATCCTGACCAAAAAACCAACAGACACTAATAAAATTTCCACCCTTTAGATTCTGTGTGACATCAGTCTAAGAAAACCATTAATCTTTATGAGCATTCCCAGAGCACAAAACACAAGGAGAATATTTTGTGTAATACTCTTCTATCTGCTTAAGTCTCTGCTTGCATCCTTTCATTGTAAACATGAACATATAAATTAGGCCAAGGCCACGCTGGTATTGGGTACAAGTTCAGAATTAAAATTCTTAAATCATGTGTTTCCTGCCTAAAAAAAAAAATTAAAAAATCAGAGATTAAAATTCCTCCACAAGGGCCTTTTAGGGAAAACTTCTAATCACAGGCTTTTCTCAGATAAATTGTATTAAGAACTCTGATTGTATCAAGGATCAAGCTATCAAATATGTCTTCAGTCATTCTCATCTTCACAGTTAATTCATCATCATCATAGCAAGTCCACTGAGATTCTTCTTTGCGGAGCTCCTGAATCTAAAAGATAACATGGATATGAATGTTTACTTCAAGAATAAGAGCATAGTCAGTTCTGAAAGGTACTAAGACACTGTACCCAATCCAACAACTTTATACATGCCGTGTTAATTTAATTTCTTTAATTTAAACCACTCACAAGAACTGGAAATTCTGGATTATTATTGCAAGTGTACTGAAAAGGAAGGCAATAACTTGAAGCTCTGAAGTTATTTTAAGTAAACATGATTCTCTCAAAAGCATGAGAATTTCTAGGTTAAACCTAGAGAAAGTAAACAAATCTCCATTTGGAAGTCTGCTTACCAGAATAAGGTCCACTCTGTCTCTCTTACAGTTTCCATACTTGGTCATATTAAGGAATTTTCTTTTCATTTCTAAGTCATTCTTTTCCAGGTTCATTATTTTAATAGTTTCACCCTGAACAAATGTCTACAAAACAAAAAAGGCGGAAAAGAATTCTTCTCATAGGAATTCTGTCACTGTGAAGGTTGCAGATGAGTGACAGGTGCCAGTGTGAAGGTCCAGCTTTAAATCTAGAAACATCCCGAAGTTTAGGGAACTGATCTAGAAGTAGCTGATCAATACTGGCCAACCAACACATTTTAAACATAAGATTACTTTAGAGGTTACACCCAAGATAGTAATAACTGGGGAGCCCAATTCCCATTCCTCTACGGAATTCCATATACTTGGAATATTTAGACTAATTAGCTCAGTCTATATCTTTTCAAGCATTTCAGAGCAATGCTGTTTTCTTCTCTAATCACCTCAGTTACACTCCCAATCCATAATCCTCCCAAATTTCACATTTGTTGTATTTTTGCCATTGCCATATCTGGTCTCTTCACTGACTCTTCTTATTGTACACTTTGCATTTCCAGAATGTACCTTGACCTCATTGACATCTGTTCTTCTGCAAAGTTGCCTGGAACAGTGAGATCCCCAATTTTCTTTCATCCATGGAAGTCTATTTGGATTTGCAGTTACTTGATATTCTGCACATAGCAACTCACGGGTCAAATCAAATACAACCTGTAACAACAAAAACACGGTACCAACATAAACTGAATCTCTCACTGTTGCCCTTTCATAAGTTTTCTTAGCGCTTCTGAAGGATGTTAGGCTGGGGACAGTAAAGGTTTGCAGCTCAGTGCAAAATTTCCTAACATCATCTGCATCGCTGATGTTCCTATAGCTGATGTCATGACGACCATTACGTAAAGAGCATGTAAACCTGTACAGCAGAAGATTGGACAGTAATGTGTGAACACTCACTAAGTATGGGTGGCTTATACAAGAGGCTCTGATGGGACCCTTTGTAATCTCCTTGTGTAGACAGAGGTCCACAAAACTCAATAGTTTCAGGGTGCTGAGGAACATGAAGATCTGTCCAACCTCAGCAGAACATCCAAGGCAGCAGACTTGGACTCTTTAGACTGCAGCTTTCCAAGAAGCGCGGCTTTTTCTGAACAGACCCATACCAGACACTGGCCTAGGTGTCCAGGGTCTTACAGTCGAAGAGCTCTAGCAAAAGGCTTGTATCACAGCAAGGACATCTATTCTAGAAGAATCATTTTGCAGTAGATTACCGGAAGCAGTATTTTGCAATACCTCTTTCAGTGTTCCTCTAGCTATATTTAGTGTTAGTAGCTAGAGTAGTATTAAGTACTAGCTAATATGAGTCAGCCTACAGAACACCAGAAAAGTTTAATAACGGTGCTTTACAAATACCTGATTATACATCCTCTTGCTTTCTGTTTCCAAATTGTCCCCTGGGAGATCATTACATTCAAAGTGCTTTGGCACACTGATTCTCCTGAAATTTGAATATATGTTTTCTGGGGTCCATAATTCTTCTACAGCACATGCAGACAATTTCTTAACATATGAACTGTAATGTGGTACCACAAGAGGAACTTCCACAGTTTTCTTCCAAGGAGCTGAGTGCCACTGATCTAATTTGTACAGGTATTGCTTTTGCGTTTGTCTCACCAGTGTATGTTGGTCAGAATCAGGCTGATCAAAGTCTTCAGAGCTTCCAAAAACACCAGCATCAAGGATTTTTATAAGGAACTTCAGTAGAGAGAAAAAGAAAAGCCAGGTGACATACTCCATATTTTTCCACAATTTTTAGAGGTATTGAGATTGTTAGCAACTGATTAAGGTTACACTTAAATCCACCTTCTTACTCATGGGCTAAAAGAAAGGCTTACTGATGTGTCATAAAAAACCCAACCTACTTTAACTGTATTTGGCAGATTTAAGAATTAGAAAGAATTCCAAATATGGAGTTCTATGAAAATTTTTGACATTTTGAAACACTTTTGTTCTGAATTGGAACTACTTTCCCCACTCCCCTAAAGCAAGTTTTTTGGTTTTTGGGGGGTTTTGGGTTTGTTGGTGGTTTTTTTTGGTTTGTTTTTTTTTTTTTTTTTTTAAACTTTCTGTGGTAGTACTTCCTGATAGACTATTTAAGAAGTAAAAATTAGACACCGTGGGATTGGAAGCAGCACGCATCAAAAGCTTCCATTTCATTTAGGGTTCCAGTCTCCCAGGGGGCTGAACTGAGAGTCTTAACTTTGCTAGAAGCTGCCTGCAGAACTAATACAGAATTTGAAAGCTGAAGGTCTCACAGCCAGGAGCTGCAAAGGAGTCAGATAGATGAGCTGACAGGTGTCCAGGTTTGCGCCGAAATTAATCAAAATTGAAGTCTCTGCTAATTTATCAGTTTTGACTAACTGACAAATTCCAACAAAAGAGTTCCACTTGCTTTGTTTGGACTAGCTGTAGCCATTATCCCCATGCTCAGCTCATCCTTGTTCCCCCATACACATGCTATCCACTGGCTGCAGGATAAATCCTGAAATGAGGAATGGGTCAGATTGAGTTCCAAATGTTGATATGATGTAATTTTTATGGATGATAAAAAACAACGGGGCAACACAAATGCTTGTCTGTGTAGACCTAATATAAGGTCCAACACTTAAGTAGACAAAAACTTTCTGACTGTACTTACTGACGAAGTGGTTGGAGAAGTCTCTGAAGATGAATGAAATATCTTGCCTGCTTTTGATCCGTCTTTTCTTTTAATCTTCTTATATTCTTTAACTGCATCATCTACAAATTTAGTTACAATTCTTTCTGCTACTGTGTGACAACCATGAATGCTAAACATGTTGAAATCACACAGTAAAACATCAGAAGCCTTTGCTAATTGTTCAGATAAGATAGCAACTGGATTTTCTTTGAGGAGAAACAGTTTCTGATTGTCTTCTTGTCTTAGGCCTTTGCCATAATTCATCATGTCTTTTTCAAAGGCACTTTTATATTTGCATTGAGCTGTTTCAGAAAATGCAATTAAAGTGTCAAACAGAAGTTTTTTACCAAGTTCACCTGCAATATCATCAGTGAGTTTATTTCTTTTCTGATCCTCTACCAAGCAACAAATAGTTTTGCTTGTGTTTACCTCATCTGTGTTACCAGTCTTACTTTTCGTTGGAAGCACATCTGCAAGCATCCTTGGGTTTTTTTGTGCCAATTCTGTTTTTCCTTTATCTGATCCCAAGCACGTTAAGTTATTTTGACAGAGGAATTCATTACACTTACACCAGTCAGAATGTGGAAACTTTTGCCCTTTTCCAGACAGCAAGGCATTGTGTAACCTAGACTGGTTTTCTTTCACTTCTGATCCTCCTGCACTGTTTGTGTCTTCTGCTTTCTGCTCTGTAAGCCCTCCTCCCTGCTCATCATCTTCAGAGTGTTCGCGGTCTCTTTTGAAGGATTCATCATCACTGGAGTCAGAGTCTTCATCCCCAGTGTAATTGGAACCATTTTTGTTAGCCCCCAGCAGATGTGAAATCTCATCTGGTCTGACAAAGATACCACAGTGCTGAGCACACTCAAAGTACTTCACCCCTTTGTAAGTTCCAGCATTATCACCTTCAGCTTTATCAAGAGCAACACCAGCCCAATGGCCACTATCAAAACAAGTCCGTCCTTTGAACATTAGGGTTCCAGGTTGGGTCTGCTTTACTAACACTCTGTCCCCAATTTCAAATGATAGTAACGGGTCATCACTGTCCTCCTCAGCTTTGGGCAGTGTTAAGTATGTTTTGCACTGTTTCATCATGAAGTCAGGACTTTTACTGGCCTGACTAGAAGAAATAGAATTTGATGCAGGCAGAAACTCCAAATGCTGAAAAGGTGTCTCATGTTCTCCTTGTCGGTATTCTAATAAGACTTCCTTTACACTGGAAATATCTTTAGTTAAAGATTGTTCAGAGAGACTACCATCCTGAATTGAAAAAGCATCAGTTGTCTCTTGATTGAGCAGGGGAAATTCTTCAGGCACAATGTTATCAGGTAATGGGGGTAATGCATCCATTTTCAGTGATATATCTTCATCCATACACTGTCTAGTCTCTGAGACTGTCATTTGTTCTGGTGGAGATAGAAAATCATCCATACTGAAGCTAGGATCATCATTTTTCATTGCATCTGCACCTAAAGGGGGAGGAGGAAGATCTTCACTTGGAAATGACAAATCCTTTTTATTAGAGGATGGCAAGTCAGCACTTCCATAGGACAATACTTCATCAACAGGAGACAGTATTTCTGACAAGGTATCCTCATCAGTTGGAGGGATACCCTCATCACTAATAAAAATTGTATCATTTTCACCTTTGGAAGTGCAGTTCTCAGCTTGAAACAATTGCTTTTTTGAGGAGACAGAAGAAAACAGTCCCGCCCTCACTTCCTTTACAGCTTGCCTTTCAGTTGTTGAATTATTTTGATTTCCTGTGGCCACCCTTTGCAAAGGCTCAAATGAATTGGTTTCTGTATGGACTTCCTCAGAAATTACTGGCATGGATGTGGACAGAGGTACAATCTTACTGAGTTTGCTGGATGCCAGTGTCTCGTTCAAAAGCTGTGCATGATTATTTTCGCCTCCTGAAACTGATAAGTTCCTTGAAGATAGACACACTAATAATTTATTTGTAATATCTTTGTCAGGTGGAAAAGAGACAGTGTTCCTAAGTTGGTCAGCAACCAAATCTAGATGTTTCAAAGAACCTGTCAGCGGAAACCCCATTAGGTCTCTATTTTGATCCACAAATAAACTGTTAATTCCACCATCCTTTTTCACGCTGCTAGTTGGAGATCTAGGTTTCTGTTGTTCATAGATCTTAGGTGAGTAAATATCATCACTGCATGAAGAGCTGGCAACTGCATCTTTACCCTGTTTTGTGATCTCCTGAGAACAGGTTTTGTTTCTACTGTAGTTTTCTGAGGCATCCAGATGTGGCTCATCCATTCCCTTGGCAGGGTTATCAGATTGGGAGGAACATGCTGACTTTGTTTTGGAGCCATTTGCTTTGTTTGATGGAACGGAAGAAAGCAAGTGATCAGTGCGGCCATTATCCAAAACA